ATTTCGATTTCTGTATACGGAACTCGGTGGTGGCTGGGACGAGAAGATAATTAGGCTTTAAGTCGACACCACGTGGTGCTCTAACATCGTGTCTAGCTCATTCCATTCCAAGAATATTATATCGGCGCAGTCATCAAATTAGTTTCCATGGTTTTTTGCTTCTGCTATAAACAAAACGTAGACTCGCTCCGATCAATTTCGGAAAGGAGATATATGCAACGGTTATTAAATGGGCGAGCGGGTTTCATGATATTGCCGTCGTCGGTGACACTCTGGGCGGGAAAATGAAGCTTTGTTTATATTGCAGAACGGCTGGCCGAATGTTTGGTGGCTCTAGGTGGTCTCTAGGTAGGCTGAAATGTATTCGAAGTAAGATTTGCATCTGTTTTAAAAATTATACTGCACTATTTCCAACTTTTTAAAAAGAACACGAGGGAGCACTGTTTCAGAATAGTTTTTTGTTTGAAAGGTTCGAATAATTTATATTTTCAACTCTTGATATCATTTCACTTGCATTTTCTTCCAAATATCGACGTAGATTCGACGAGACAGCAGTTGTCTTGACTGGTTTGTTCCATATTTAACAGTCACTTTAAAATAGAAGGCAAACACTTACATAAAATTTAGAGATTTCATTGTCCTTTTTGGTCAACTTTATATATATGTCGACAATAATACAATTTGGAATGCAAACGACGCAAAGACATACCTTAATCCAGTCACTGAGCATTAGTCTATAAATAAACTGCAATTCTATTTTCTGACAACAAAGAACAATAAACTTACAGCAGGCGAGTGTGGTTCATCCGCCCATAGGTTCAGTCCAAACGGAAACGTGTCTGTCAAGCGTTTAAGATTCAGTACAGGAGTTCCTGTTCGAAGCAGCTCAAACAGAGAAACACCGGCCCCCCACTTACGGGTCTCTTCATTTTCTCTTTTTTTTCCCCTCCCGCTTTTTCCTCTTCAGTACAGTATCCTGTCCCGCGCACGCGAAGTATCGCCCCCGGGCAAGTCAGTGGCTAAAAGCGGACGGGGATGCAGCGAGGTAGGCACGCTATGCCGTTCTGGTCTGCTTGGCACGGGCGCAAAAACAGGCAACGGGCTGTGAAGATGGGTGTCCACCGCCGTCTAACTTCGTTTATCAACGGCATAGCTGATACCCCCTCTGTCCCCTTCTGCTGAGGAAGTGTGCCGCGTACGCGAGCCCCTTCGCCCAATTCCCTGTTATTCCTGGCGATGCACCGCGATGACTGATCAAGTCTAGAAAATGACGCGTCTTTTGACAGCAGCCAAAAGGGGAAAAACAAGAAACGATAATCCCTCTTAGCATTGAACTTTGATAAACATAGTGTTTCCAAATCTCAAAAAATAAGGCTTTGAATTTCTCCAGCTGCGTACACCCTCAAAAAATAACTATACCAAGAATAAGTTTACAATCACTTGTTATTTCGATTTCACACTAAAGCGTTCAATGACGATTACAAACAGCAGATTGCTGTTTGTAATCATCACTGAACGTCAGTTCTCCTCTTTTAACATCTACAAAAAAATTCCTTTGGTCTCATTCAAAAGTTTCAGTTTTAAATTCAAAATAAAAGTTTAACGAAGCTGGTCGAATTTTCGATTAATGTTTGAAAAAATGTGTGTGAGCACAATTGTGTGGAATAGGCCTACCACAGTTTGTTTGGCCATAAAGCTGCACAGAAGCCTGTCTTGACGGATGTTGCAGGTTTATCAGCTAGTTCGAGTCAGAATTGCGTGCGTTTGTATGAATGCGATTCCAGTTTGACCTTCTTAGTTTTCTGTTTCGAAGAAATCGAAGACTACACCTCGTCTCTAATTTACTGTCAAAAAATACCCAATGTAGCATTGAATTCACGTCTAAAATCCACCAATATTGTAGCCCAATTACCACGCGTGACTTTCATGTTTTGATAGACGCACATGCAAGCTGCTGTATTTAAATTTTAAACCTATACTGTCACTAAGTGGCGTATCGAGTAGCTAGATAACGACAAGGACTGCCCATAAATTACCTTGGTGACCATTCTGGTGGATCGGAAGCCGTCGTTCAAGGGCATGTGGTGGAGGGTAACTTGAGCAGAACATGTGCAGAGAGAAACGGTCACGCTTGAATGGTTGAGCATTGTTTTGTACTATGAGTCTCTTCACAGATGGACGAGGGATTACAAACAAAGTCATTCTCAATCGTCAGTTTAACCGAATATTTTTTTTCTCCTGAAGAGAACCATCGCTTCTTCTGGTTATCTTAATGCGAAGATCATGACTGAATGCCTGGTTCGCGACAATGGGGTTTAACGAGAGAATCCCAGTCCACAGTTCAATGGCAGTTTTAAGGAACTTTTGGACAAGATGGACCAAGACATCATCAGTGCGGTTGAAAATAAATTAGTTCCAAATGTTATGTATGAAATGATTCGGGTCTTAAATTGTGTCTACCTTTTTTTTTAATCTGTTGACTGTACTTGCACGCTGCTCTCTCTCTCTTTACAGTTCCTTTCTACAATTTGCAGTCCGAAGGTGAAGCTGCAATTAGAATAGAATAAATACTAGCGAATCAAACCTTGGCGTGATCGTGAATCTAATCAGCGCCAACCTTAAACCTCGAGTCTATCCACTTCTCTACTTCCCTCCCCCTTCCCTGTTTGTAGCAATTTGATGACACGGCAATTCCTCCCCTCCATACGAGTCCCGATTGTGACCTGTTCTGGCCTTGTCGTGCGGTCCGTCCCCGGGTCTGTGTCTATCTCTCCCTAGCCGCCTGTCTGTGATGATCTATACCCAGGGTGACAACTCTCACCACGTATAAACTCACACAGCCACCCCCCCCCCGAAACCCGCCTGATTTTGATGAAGATGGCGATGAGGAAGACACCGTACAAGCTCACAGCCAGGCGTACGTTTTGCTCTGTGACTCACCGGTCCAGCCGCTCGATCAACAAGACCAGGAAATTTTAATTTGCACGCTGTCCAATCTCGTCCCCTTCGTCCCTTCCATCATCTCTTCTTGCGGTATCGTCGCGCGGAGAGGGGAAGAGACAAGGGGGAGTAGAACCCAAATTATCGAGCGTTAGGTGTGAGATGCCCCGGGCAGGGGGAGATTATATGGGGGGGGGTGGAGATCCAAGGGGTAGGGGGTGTTTTATAAAGGAGGAACGGGCAAAGGAGTTGATTGCTCGATCCGGTCTGGATCTTCTCATCTGGGGATTGTGTATCGTTGATCAGCTTTAAGTTACCGTGACATCTACCCTCCATTATTCGATGGCTTGTACCCAACTGACTCCCAGTCTAGAGACCATAAACAAGTTAACTGGCTGTGGAGCGATTTAATTAACCGATGTCCCCCGATGACCGAATTTTGGGAGCTCCCCCAAAATAGACCGTCCGATGCTCACTGCGCCATGTTGGCAATCATCACGAGACTGGAAGACAGCCAGCCCGACACAGACACATTCTCATCTTCAGTCTCCTTGATAGTAAAAGCTCCCGATAATTGACATAATGTAATGCCCCCCCCCCGAAATCAGATTATCAAACGTCNTAGAGACACTTGTCTTCTCCAGTCTAACTACAGTGTGATAACTCTCAATCCACTCAATTTTCCCCCTGCCCTTCCCTTTCTACATGCAGCATTTGCTAAAAGGCGAAGGAAAAATATTTGTGAGGTCTTCAATCTCTGACAACTAGGAAAGGACGGCGTGAAGAAAAACATGTGACCATAGGTAGGAGGGCTGCTTGGACATACCAAATTTAAAAGAAAAAAGAGAGAAAACATTATGATGAAAACATGCGGTTGTTCATCTGCTTCTAGTTCCTCCAATTCCTCTTTCGGGGGGTAATGTTCCTTTTCTTTCTTTTCCTTTTATCGGGGGAGGGAGTACTGAAAATTCGAGATGAGACCTGGACAATTTGAAATTAACCATTTTACAAAGCGCTGGGTTTTCTTTCTCCTGTCCCATCGTTTGACGTCTGTAGCTCCCTGGCTGACACCAGCCTTTGTGTGCGACTCGTGTTGCCTTGGGTCCCATGTATCGTCTGCAAATTGCGTTCCCAACTTTCTGCCAAGATCTAATGGCAGATTACGCGCACAATCTCCCCGCGCATTTGTTCCCCCCCCCCAAAAAAAAGAGAAAAAAAGGAGATTATTGTACAGATAATTCTGGGCAAAGCTCATCTCGGGGGAGAGAACCAATTTTCCGGACTTAAGTCGATCCGTCCCCTCCCCCTGTCTCCAGCGCTGCCCGCGTCCGGCGAGGATTTGCCCACCACCCGGGGATATTGTTCCGCTGAAAATCGCTGCCAAATGCCGTTCAATTAAACCTAATTATAAAGAGAGGGGAGATTCCGACATGATAAAAAGTGATGCGGCTGGCATCTCTCCAAAGAGCGGCGGGCAGATGCTCCCGAGATCTTCCATTCGCTGGGCTGACATTGCAATGGGCGTTATTATTCGGATTCTCGACAAAATACTCACAGACTTTCCAATCCGAATGCGTCAGATTTCTTCTTTGGTTCGATGAAAGCAATTTCGGGGGACATCCCTCGCGAGTTCAGAAACTTGAGGGCTACATTTTGGGAAATTAATTTTGATACTACAGTGCTTCAGTGCAATGTGTCGATGTAGAAGCCAATATTTTGGATACGGGCACTATTTAAAATCTGTCATGCACCAGAGGTCCATACCTGTTACGTTGGCTTCATTGAGTCTCATCATATCCGAGCGTGTCATTGTCGCGGTCACCATCGAACCATTTGTCACTGCCATTTCATTCTCATTGTTTCTACTCTAACACTGCGTGAGGGTCGTCCTCTGTCCGTCCGTTGTCATCCCCGCGCCATCCCATCACTGCCATTTTTGTCATCTTCCCTCTGACAGTGTGGTCGTCAAGATCGTCACCACATTTGGCACCCACCACGTCACCAGATTTAATCCTTAATAATGTGAACTGAGCAAAATATGAACTCACGGGAAAGAAATGTAGACCTTATCACAACTTCTTTCTTTTAATGAGAAACACTTCTTTTCATCTGCACTTCACGTGCAGTGTTTTCTCTTCAGACACGAACAAATATATTTCCTGAAATAAAAAGTTGAAAATATACCAATGCCGGTCGTGAAGCTTCTCGACATACTTCTGTAGGCGTCTTTGACGATTGCTTAATTATCTTAATTACTGATGATGAATGTCAAGAGTTGTTATTCTGTAAAATTCACTGCTTTAAACCTTACAGGCTCGTGCCTTTTTGGAGCTATAACTTATAAATCGAGAAATACATAGAGATCAGTTTTTTTAATCAGTATTTCGAAAACCTACCTGGTGCATTTTAAACAGTGCTGCAGTCAATGAGCCTCAATCGAACTACTGAAGCAGTGGAACTGTACTAGGTAAAATAATCTAAAATACACCAACAACGTTTTGGAACTTGCACAAATAAACGTCTCGTGAATTCAGAACGTCTGACAGAATATAACTAAACATTTTCTTATGGGTGAAAAGTCTAATTCCTTTCAGAAAAAAATGCACATATCTCAAAATTTAACCCCCCCCCCACATGGGTCTGTCATTTCGATCAGAGCAGAGCCTCTATAAAAGGCAAAAAGACGGGACAGGTAAAGATGTACACTAAACTTCATTTTGTGCCGTGAAACTTTACTAAAAGTTGGCCCATCAATTTGGGCTCCGTACATACATGTACATCTGCTAGGGCCTACACTTCACTTAGTCCGGGCATTTGTAGCTTTGTCCTAGGACCTGTAGAGTTAGACAGTCTAGCATCCGAGTTGTTGGAATTCTGCAAAGACACAAGGCAAATAAGATTTATTTTGAGAGTTTGCAGGATAGGCAGCATGGTACCCTCTGCCCCCAGTGACAAAAAAGTGTTTTAAATCTGCCGATAGCGAACGTTGTACTGAAACAGGCGCAAGACGGTCAAAGTAGCGATGGAAAAATGATTAAATCTATGAAAAACCGCAACTACGATCACCGCAACTATTACCAACGCTTTTCAAAATCAAGCGTAACAAATCGAGGGAGTTTATCACTTTGAATACATTTCATACACTTGCCAAAATTAGGCATGGCTTTGCACGTAGCTCAAGAATATGGAACGCCAAAGAGGCAAAAACTCGGAGGCAACACATCGATCGTTCTTTAACATCGATCGATCGTTCGTCTGCATCGATCGATGAATAAAGAGCGGTAAAAAAGAGCGATGGAAAAAGAGCGATGATGTTATATTACCAACATTACGCAACCCCTCCCTGTACCAAATGAGCATGTAATCCCTGTAACAGTCTACCAGCACTCAAGGCCACCCGTGTTCATTACCCGTCGGTCTGGTCTGAGCCAATAAATTGGGTTGTCAGGTGGATGTTTATATCGGGTTTAAACCACAAATTTCCCCTGGATGGGATGCCATTTTGTTACGGGTCGCTCCCTAGCCACTGCAAGTGCCCATTCTTACTCTTAATTACTCGAATTTTATCGCCCACACTAATAGAAGACCTGCGTAGAGCGCCCTCGCTGAGTACATGTTTGGTTTTTTTCGATTTAATGACAACGAACGCCCAAAATTTGAAAGGTTTACTTGAGCCTATCCTAGACGAAGAAGAAAATAATGCCCTCAAACGTGACGTCATACGCAGGCCCTCTACAACATCTCGGCTGAACTTGGCGGAACTATTGTGTCAGATGCCATTCATAAGTCAACCCACATGAATCTTCTTAAGGAAATTGTTTTTCGTTAACTCTGAAAATTGCGTGACACCCTCCTCCGGCTGCAGTGAAATTATATCATCGAGCTGAACGCGTGGAACGTAACATCCCAGTGTATTCTAACAGGGAACTTCCATAGCTAGGCTCGGGATTAATTTCCACATGTATCACAAAATCGAGCCTAGTTAATAATTTCTGCGTATAGGCTATAAAGGAAATTTTAGGTCCTTCATTTTGTTCCCATTTCCAATAAAAGAGAGGTATGATCTCATCTTTTTATTTCATTCAGCCTCGCCTTGCTAAAATTGCATCATATCCCGAGCTCTCCAGTCCCTGGTGGTACAAAAGACAACTGAATTCAACCACCATAATACAACTTCGAATTTGGAACTGCTGAACTCAGGGTTGGTGTCTGTCATTGAGTGATGCTACAACCCAACAATACAACCCCTTAGAACAGGTTTGGAACGGATCATGAGAGTCACAATTTGCCTTATTTGGGCCACATCTCCTAAGATGACTTAGCACTGACCAGAGAGTGGGTAGGGGGGCAGTGGCGGCCGGCGCCAGACCTGTGGATGCAAGGATTGGGCAAGGCAGAATTGGTACAAATGATCCTTAATTTTTCCTGGGTTATGATGCAGAGTCGTCAAACAATAAGGTTGTTGTAATAGGTGACAAAGTTCTGTGGGTGCAAACGGCTTTTCGGTGGGTGCATCCACGTGACACCGCGGCGCAGCGCCACCACCGCATCTCTTCATTATCTGTTTGTCGTTCGCTTCTTCTTACCATTAGTAGTATTTGCAGGTGATATCCTATACCCTGCAAGATGAAGCCCTTCTACCTCTGTTTTGTTCTATTGGAAATGGGCACAAAATGAAGAACCTAAAATTTCCTTTATAGCCTGTGAGCAGAATCTACTAACTTGGGCTCGATTTTGTGATACATGTGAAAATCAATCCTTACCCTAGCTAAGGAAATTACGCTGCTAGAATGCACTGGAATATTACGCTCAGCACGTTCAGCTAGATGAAATAATTTCGTTGCAGCCGGAGGATGGTGTGACTTAAGCTATTTTCAGAATTGACGAAGAATAATTTCTTTTAGCAGCTTCATGACAGTTGACTTTCTGAGTTACATCCGACAGAATGGTTCCGCCGGTTCAGCCGGGATGTTATTAGTGTGGAAAATGAATTGAGTCAGTATACAAGAGTGATATTGGGTACCTGCAGTGGCTAGGGAGCAACCCATACCAAAATTGCATCGTATCCAGGGGAAAACTGTGGTTTAACCCACCTGATAACCCATTTTATTGGCTCAGACCAGACCGACGGGTACTGAACACGGGTGGCCTTGAGTGCTGGTTGGCTGTTAAAGGAAACACATGTTTTATTGGCGCTGGGACTGCGTAACGTTGGCATTGATGTAATTTCATCGGTCTTTTTCCATCGCTCTTGTTTTCATCACTCTTTCTTCATCGATCAATCGATGTGGGGAACGATCGATCGATGTATATAGAAAAACGATCGATCGATGATGAAGAACGATCAATGTGTTGCCTCCAAGTTTTTGCGTCTTTGGCGTTCCATACTAGAGTGGTGTTTTCTTAGCGGTGCGCGAGAAAAGGCCCAAGTTGACTCTCGCTCGCTCGAGTTGTCTCAAATCAGGCAGAAAATGCGACAAACTTGGTCCGTGTCCCGGCCCTTTCCACGCTTCTTACAACATGTTATGACGCACAACAAACTTGGAGTTGCCGGTTCTTTACTCGCCTGTGGTGACAAAACTATAGAGCAAGGGGATCTGTTATTCTGCGCAGCGTTGGCTTGACGTGGGAACGGATGGAAAACACGATGAGTGCAGCAGTCGTGTGGTATTCATGTGTCTTTACATTACCAGAATATGATCTGGTCTCGCTTGTCAGCAGCGGCATTGCCGTCTGTAGAGCCCCCGGCCACACGGCCAATAAAACTGCATGACTGAGAGGGGTGGGGGTGGCTACGGAGGGGTAGAGAGAGATAGGGGAAGCCCCCCGGTCCGTGTTTGTTTGGGAGGCAAGGGTTGTTTGGGAAGACGGCCATAGTTGGCTGGGAGGGAGGTAAGGATCCAAGCTTCCCCCCCCCGTGATCGAGCTAAGGTTTGTTCCTCGTCTGTGTGTATTTATTGTTCAGGAAGTTACATTGCCCTTGGTTGACAGCGATGAAACTTTATATGGCTTGGGCTAGCACGTCTTGTATGGAAGTATTAAGCCGTAGCCAGAAAAGAAGGGCTATCTATTACGGACTCTGATAAGCATTTGGCCAAGTAGCTAAAGCCATAATTTGTAGAAATAAACCCTCAAAGCCGTTTGCCCATCTCTGTTATCCCTGTTGCTATCGCTTGAAATTGCCGTACTACAACGAAGCTGTGTAATCACTGAACCCTATTTTTTACTACCTCTGTCTTTTAATTGATTGCATGGGCTACCAATAGAGGCTTTGCGTGGTAGCCATCTTGCAGGGCAGTTCTTTTTTCCACAAGGAAGCCTCCTTTGTTCATACTCTTTAGAGCAAATGCACTGGCCCGCAGGATGGCAGCCTGCAAGCAAACTCTTTGCAAACAATTTTACTTTGCTCGTCATCAAAAACTGGATCTCCTTTTTTCGCACGGGATAGGGTAAATAACATGGATTGTGTCCCTGTCGAAATGTTATCGTGAGTTCTCTGAGGAAGGACAGCGAAGGAAAAAGACACGGCGAGCACGGGAGAAACACCAAGCGTGGATTGCTGACCTGAGCTGACCTTCGCGACTTGAACACAGGGCGAGGAAAGTGCCGCTGTGACTAATCCCAACACAGCAAAATGACTTGAAAAGATGCTGGTTGGTTTGACAGATGAAGGTAGCATGCATTTTCACACAGCTTGAAGGTACAAGAATAACGAAGGAGTTTCATTTGCCTGCAATATCACCTGATACCACAAATGTTGCACGTGGTTTGATCACAGTGGTCGGCAATGCCCGCACTTTGGTGATTTTCCTAATCATTGCTACTCGTCGACATTACTGCGAAAGTCAAAAGCACGAGGGCGGGGCTGACATGGCTGTCTTGCCGCATCACGCCAAAATCAATTTGTGTCCCGGGGGATGTTCCCTGGGTAATTGTTTATATTAAAACCCCGGCAAGTGAAAGACGAAAAATATAGTAGGAGGCGAAGTGCAAATCTTGCCCAAGTGACGCTTGGCTTTGTGCGAAATTGCTTGTCACACTGATCCGGGTTCATCAACAAAAGGGCCGGTACTTCAAATGGTTCTTTTTCAGTTTCCGCATGCTCTCCTTTTCCCGGGTTTGCGCACCACAAAATTGCAGAAAACTGGTAATCGAATTTATAGCCCAACCGCCAGGGAAAGTGCAGCACAGGTGTAGGCGGTACACGCCCCCGGGGGATCAGAATACGCAATACGGACCCCCCTAAATTTTTTCTTCTTTTTTTTCAACCTGTTAATCTGCTTTGCGCGACAGCTCCGGCTCGGGCCTCGAAAACAGTTCCCTCCGATATCAGGTGCGCGCCCGAAAATCGGTATAAACCTGGGGTGTAATGCTATTATGCCCGACAATTCCGTCCGGGAGAAGTGGCCTATTACCCGCTGAAAGTTTGGCCGGCGGCGGCCCTAGGCAACAGATGCCCGCCAAACGGTGCGCGGGAACGCCGAGGAAAAAAGTACTCTACTCCGAAGATCTTTTTCTCCTGTTGTTGTTGGTGGTGGCTCTTTATGGCAATCTTGTAAAAACCAAGGGAGGAGGGTAGAATTATAAGCTAGTGATAGAATAAAGAACTTGTCACCCACTGCACTTTCAGCGTGGCAAAATCAATATTTTCTTTGTCATTTAGAACGATGCGGTAGGTGACGTGCCTCGGGATTCCAAACGACCAGTGCCAAGCCTTGTTCCCAGGGTTAAATACAAAAAAAGGAATAATTTGAACGAGGTTGATATAGACTGGTTATAATCAGTCACAATTTGGCCACATTGAAGTCATAATTTTTGTATTCTGATTGTGACAAGTGCTTTTTTTACATGAGGTGTACCATCCTTAGGCAGGG